CCCTCACCACAGTGCAACAGTGAAAAGGGACCCCTTTCAAACAGTGTCGCGTTCCCAACGTTGTTTAAGCGACATACACCGGTATTGCGGTATTTAAAAAATTCATATCATAACAAAAATAAACACCGGTATTCGGTATGAACCGGTATACCGCCCAGCACTAGCATGTTCCATTCCCAAATGCACGTATAAGCAAACCAAACCCAGAGCAGATGCAGAGATAGAGTTTGTGTAAAGCAGTATTAACTGTGAACCGCTCGCGACACACTAAAAACCCCAGATCATGAGCTGCCTGCATGTAAATGAAACACTCTACACATTTATTCAGTTGAGTCATACATTGCTTTTGCAATGTGATAATCGCATTAAGACAAATTTCAGTTTTATTTCAATTAACCATTCAGCTCTCTGGTCTCCTTAAAGTGTATGGGATTTTTGCCTGTTTCAATGTATGCCAAAAGAAAATCATAAATCTGGTCCCTTAGTAATAGCCCCTAACTCCTCAAGCCACATGATTTGAGGTGCCATTCGTGTCTGTAGCACAAACAGTGCTAAAAAAAATCATGAATGAAGTTTAATACTTCAGATCGTTAGATAAAGTCTGTGAATAAAAATTTGTTATATGGGTGAGATTTTAAATAAAAATATAATGTGTATAAATTTCATATGAATGAAAGTATATTTTTAAATATATATAAACTTTCCTGGAAAACTCTGCTCTCTCTTTTCCAGGTGTGGCTTTCTGTCTGGAGCTGCTACTGACCTCAGCCCTGCTGTCATGGCCTCAGCCCTCACATCATGCAGAAAGCACCCCTCCTAACCCTCATACCTCACACACACTCACACCACACATCACCACACACACGCACAGCCATGATGACCACCTCCCACATGAACGGATATGTGACCGAGTCGGACGGTGGGGGAGGGAGCGGCGGAGGCACTGACTTTCTGGAGGAGGTGGTGCAGAGGCACAGGGAGATGGCGGTAGACTGCCCCAGTGAACTGGGTGCCCGCACCATGTCCGTCAGACGCAGCGCTCAGCTGGAAAGGATCCGTCAGCAGCAGGAGGACCGCAGGAGACGGGAGGAAGAAGGCCGCAACCGACAGGAACTCGACCTCAACTCGTCCATGCGCCTCAAGAAACTCTCACAGAATCCCAAAGTGGGCATCGATAACCCCACCTTTGAGCAAATGGAAGGTCCTGGAGGCTCCATAGGTGGTCTGCAAATTCTCACTGCACCACCAACTCTACTAGGTGGGTGTCATAAACTGCTAATGGGCATTGTTTCCAAAGAGTGCTGCTATAAACCCGCCCCTGACATGTGCAGAGCAAGCAGCAGTATTGTGGGTGTCAGTGCCATGGTGTTTAGTGTGTTAAGCCTACATATTGAGTCATAGTGCTCATAGGGCGTGTATGCATTTGAATCTGGCTTGCAACATATTCTGTTTATCATTTAAATAAAATATGTTTGACAAAAATCTTAAAAATAACATGAAAATTGGAAACATTTAGTTTAGTTAAGTTGAAGTACTAAAAGTAGAATTGAAATAAAACTGAATTAAAGGTAGAAACATTAAAAAATAATAAAAATGAGAAAAACTTAATTACTAAAACTTGCATTAAAAAATATAACAATAAAAGCTCATTTAAAAATCTATAGTCTATAATTTTATATAAATAATACTGAAATAACAGTGCATGATATGCAGTGACATTCAGACGTACAAAGTGACCAGATAGTGTCCAAAAAACATAACAATTAACTATTACTTTCCACAATTGTTTGACAAAATGGCACAAATAGTTATGGAAATGTGAGGTTGAAAATGATTCAGAGGAACTGAAGGGCACTTGACGGCTTAAAATCAGCATGCATGAGTGAAGTCATTCTGAGAGGAGGCAGAGAGCCGTGTTACTGATGACTAAGAGTATTCAAGAGCCAAAGAGCCACTGGACTTGAAACTAAATGAGGACAAAAGTCCATTTATATGCCACATTATTTTAATATCTTTTTAGCTGATTTTTTTAAATCTGTTTTTCACCTTTCTTCGCTTTCCTCACACCACAACCTCTTACTCTTTCTCTTTAGTTACTCTCAACAGGAAGCCTTTCACTAGAGTTTAATCCATTAGATTAGACAGACACACACATGCTCAACTCCTCCAGTGAATTCTTGGTTTTGAATAGATCTCCGTTAAGGGGAAATCCAGAATGCATGGCAAGGATGAACAAACTGAGTTACTGTGCAAATGAGAAGGGCACTTGGAGCTGCTGCTGAAAGTCATGGCCAAGGGATGTATGTGAGTGGAATTCCTCAGGGAGGGAGAAGAGGACCCTCTGAGAGGGAGGTTAATTAAAAAGCCTTTTATGAAACATTCTGACCCAGACCACTCTTGCTGTACTGTGTTTTCCTCGATTTTCCTTCTTTGTTTGTGTTCCAGTTCATCTCTCCACGCTCTCCCTATGCTGTTTTTTGACAGTCTAAAACTCTTTGTAGCACTAAAGTGTGCGTAAAATATATCCCGTCAAGAACAAAGCAAAGGCAACACTTAAGATATTTGATTTGCCCACTAATACCTCTATTAGCCACCCACTTAGACATTACACACCATACAAGGAAAACACACCCACATGTCTAACTCCTATTGTGTCTTGCCATTCTCTTATTGTGTAGTTAGACACTATAAAGGAGAATTACAACATAGCTGAAACTTGGTTAGTCAAGGACAACGCTAGAATAGCTGTATTACATCTGTGATTTATGCAAACGTTGTGCGATGTGGTTAACGAACAATAAAAATGCTCAGTGGGGGAGTCTTTGTGAAAGGCCATGTCATCAGTTTTACGGGTGAATGATTCAGAGGTATGTACTGTTGTTCCTCTGTGAAGTTACTGTTTCTTCTGTTTTTACAGGCAGGGTGTTTTTGAGATACACTAGTGATCTGCAAGCATACTTATGGTTTGTGTTTGTGCTTTCAGAGCTGGAGGACCTGTTGATGTCCCTCAAGCAGGTGCAGCATAGTTTGAATGACTCTCAGAGTCAAGAGGACATAGAGCTGGTTCTACAGCTGGTCCAGAAGTCTGACTTCCAGAAAGCCTTCAACATTCACAATGCCGTGGCCCACTATATGAACCGGCCCAGCCCTCCCTACCCCCTGACAGACCACACACAGAGCCTCGCACAAGAGGTGAGCGGCACTTGTTACATATGTGGACTGAGTAAAAGATGAGCAGGAAACATGCATGGATGGTAAAGTTGACATTACTGAAGTAATTAATTATAGTTAACACACCCCACCCAGCTCTTTTCTCTGAAGAAAAAAAATTCTGATATGAAACAACTTCACTTCTGAAGTTCCATATTACCAAAATACCTATTGTCAGAGTACAAAAATTAAGAACAGTTGCATTTACAATTTTAGTTTTAGTCTGTTTGTTACGATATAATCAAGTTGTGTCAATGCCATTTGACTAATCACCAGTGGTGGACAGTAACATAGTAGTTTTACTTCGTTACTGTACTTAAGTACATTTTTCAAGTATCTGTACTTTACTGGAGTAGTTTTATTTTGAGTAACTTTTACTTTTACTTCACTACATTCCAAAGCATAAGATCGTACTTTGTACTTCACTACATTTCATAAAACATATCGTTACTCCTTATAATATATCACGTGCTCTGACACGCA